ATCAGCCCTCATGAATCAGTCCGAAGCACCATTACAAAAGCAGAGCTGAGTCTGCAAACTAAGCTCTCAGTGTCCAAATCGATGTTTTTCCCCATACTTACCAACGGTCATGAGTTGCAAACCACGACTGAAAAGCTTCGAACGCGGGTAGGGGTTGGTGAAATGGGCTTTCTTAGAGGAGTCGCTGGCCTTACGCGTCTCGACATGGTCCGGCAAACAGACATCCGCGACAGCCTTGGTGTAGAGCCTTTGCTTCTCCAGATTGAGAAGTCACATCTGCGATGGTTTACACATGTGTTGCGAATGCCTCCAGAAAGGAAGGCTAAGCAACTCTTTCTTGCGAAACTAAGCGGCAGAAGGCCCAGGGGACGTCCAAGATTAGCTTGGTGCAAATATATGGAAGGAGTCTGTTCCAGACTGCATTTGACTTCTTCCGAAGCTCAAACGCTGGCACAGAATCGGGAACGTTGGAAGCTCCGCCTGACGGCGGTAGAAGCGGCGCTGGAAGATGAAGAACTAAGTCGAAAGCGCATTTACTCTATGTAAGTTCAAATCTTGGAGCGGAGTTTTATATTTTATTTCATATATAATGCAAGAACAGATACTTACATCGCAGATCACCAGTCATTTCTCAAGTTCAAAAACCGCGTATAATACATGCGCAGGAGGGTCGCCGTTTACTGCAGCACAGAAAAATCATTTACGAGAAACCAATACCTTGTTTGAAAATTTTCAGAAAAATGTCCCTCTTCTTCTGGTTCGACAAATCACGTTATTAATCTAGCCTACAATTTTCACTTTCCCAGAAACAAAACATAATAAACCTAATTCTACCCTACCATATCCTGAAATGTCACTTTTACTAAACAATACATCGTCAACGAAGATTTAAACCATCAAAAATTTATCAAGCATAAAGCCTAATGGTTCAAAACGATCCAACTACAGCATTGGCCTTCGACATAAACAAAATATCACCATCATTTACACTACAAGGGCCCTGGGCTATGGTTCAAATAGTTGGCAGTGGCATATTCAACAGACAATTCTTTGCATTGTGCACGAAGAGAGTGTATTTATCTTGTATTTCAGTATGATTAGCTATTCACAAACACAAACCCCCGTGCCTAACGATTTGTTTTACCAGGAGCATATAACTATACCACAAGAAATACAAAACAGTTAACTGCAACTGTCATGGTACGTAATTACTGATCGGTATAAAGAACAACACTGTACGCATACAAGAAGCACCCGCTGCCTTTGAAAAAAGTAGTGAGCCATATTTTGATCTAGCCGATCACTTCACCACTTACCTTAAGAGTACCGTCAGACAGCCTAAACTTTCAAATCGAGAAACCAGCATCTTTAGTCCTAAGATCTACGGAAGAGCATAAATAAAACTTTCCATGTGTACTGCTGTAATATCTATGGTTAACAACGAACAAATTTTTTCTGACAGCTTAGCTCAACTTAGTACAGTAGTTCCTGCTTACCTAATAGTCTTTAGACGTTAGAATATATTCTGTACGCTGACAGTCATACTGGAAAACGGTTACATCACACAAAACGCAAAATGGTGACTTCAGGGTGAAATATCGATTTCTACGTTTCGGCTCAAATTTCGTCGGTGCTGGGAGGGGGTAGTTTACGGTTGCTGGGCACAGCTTCGGCAGTGAGTGGTTTGTTTTGGATTCCCTCAGGCCGGCCGCATACGACTTTCACGGCAACCTACAACGACCTTCTCCATTACCGCGAAGATGGCCCCGGGTCGAATCTTTGGTATTAGTCTGTCACCCAATCGGCTATCATATTACGAGGTGCATAAAAACATGCACATTCAATACTTTTATGTGATGCTAATAGCATTTTTTTGCCAAACTAATTTCGAACTAGCCTAAAGCAATTCGCCTAGATTTGACCAAGCGCATGTATCAAACCTGTGGAAAGAACGCTTGGAACAGATTATCGTTTCGCCGGTGAAAATACACGCAGTTCAGATTTTACGAAAGCTTTGGTGTCATTCCTGAAATATAACACATCATTTGCAATATACTGCGTTACAGATTAACCAGCACAACCAGCATTATATACTTTCTGAAATGTCCGTCTTTTAATAAACTCTTTCGTGATGATTCTATACATATCATATGGTTCAAAAACAAGAATAATGAATACGTTCATATGACTAGTGTGATGATGAGGAGAATCAAACCATGAATAACAACACCTGGCGATGTAAATCGCCTAAAATTTATGTTACGTTTCATCACCTAACTCTGTCAAAGAAGTTCAACTTTATTCATTTACACTTCATCAGAGACCGAAATACTCTCAGAAAACACCTGCTCCGGAAACACGCATCAGGAAATATTTATACGTCGACTGCTGCAGACAGAAGTAAAAACAGCACATGTGAAAACTGAAGCATCTACAAAAACGGTTTATTTATATACAACGCAAACAAACAAGTTGGTCAATCGGATGATTGACCAGTACTGACATTTCAGTTCATCCCTCATGAGCATTTTTCACTGTGGACAGGACTGATTTCTGCAGCTGGCTGCGTGGTCCGTAGTTGCTGCGGCGTGACACAAAGGTGTGCTGTTGGCCCATGCTGCTGGTTAAGTAGTTCTTCGGTCAGCGGCGGACCACGCAACCAACTGCTGAAATCAACCCGGACTACCCTGAAAAAGGTTCGTGAGAGACGAGTCGAAGCGCAGGTACTGGTGAATCACCCGATTCACTAACTTATGTTTTCGTTGTGCATAAATAAACTTCTCATACATTTTTAAGTATGAACACCAACGCACGAACAATTTATCCAATCAACAGCTAATTTGAGAAATTTAGCAGTGTAGGAGGTAAGTCATAAGTCATGAAAACCGACGACTGTGAGGGTGTTGATATCGCCATTTTTTATATTGGCGTTGATGAACAGACTTGCGATGAGAATGTAGGTAACGCTTGAAAGAAATGATCTGAAGATAGACAAACAAAGAATCAGACAATCAAAGAATAAGGCAGACATCAACGTCATATCTGCATATACTACAATAGTCTGGTCTAGGCAGAACTCACGAAATGACAAACCAATGGTCAAAGACAAGTGTCGAACCAACGTTAGCATAATCAAAGCCAATGGCACGGCTCTCACAACATCAATCATGCTTTAAAAGTGCTTCCTCGGCAAAATTTTGATTGACGCTTTGCCATAAAATCATTTGCTAAACAAGTTTTAAGAAACCATGATCTAATATGTGAATGATTTTCCAACAGGAAACAAGACAGAAGTATTTCAGCAACCTTTACGAACTGGAAAAGCTGCAGTAAGATACAATCTGGATGCAACTGTACACATTCCAGCTGAGAGGTGTGGCTACACCAGATGGCAATTTTTATGAAAACGACACCGTTCGAAAATAAGAATCTATTTAGATGGGAACTTGCATCACGAAAGATATAAAAGGGAAAGGAGAATCAGACTGGAACAAACCTGTCTGTCCCCTTCAAGCAGCTGGTCAACAGCTTTCTCGACATCATTATCACAGTCGTGTAACGCACCCAAAGCTTCGCTTTCTGTACACCTTGTCAACTCAATGACCTTCAAAAAAAGAGCATAAGCGTTGCAAACATATCAACGTTGCGCATAAACCTTAAGCACTTTCTCTCGCATCACTGCAGGGTCAGTGGTACCCTTTGGATCGTTCAGCAACTGAGCTATTCGAAGCTGCTCGCTTGTTGGAGCCTTAGAACGACAAACCGCAATTAAAAGCTAAATGCGAAATAAGCAACAGCATATAACAACCATTACCTGCAACTTAGCACTGGTAGATACGTTTTCACTTTTTCCCATTTTCAACTATCTTCATATGATACATTAACAATAGAAAGTCGCCATCAAAGATACATCGTGACTTAAAGCCTAAACAAAAGGATTGTAAGATTAGCTACGTTACCGAATCGACGACAGCGAGGAACTGAAAGCATGAATTAGGACAAAAGGCATCTGCGTACCCGCATGGCGGGCGAACATTGTAAGAAAAGCCATGTAAACGGAACGACGCCTTGAGAGCAGCAAACAACGTGAAAGGGCAACCGTTTTTCACAAGCTCCATCTTATAAAGCGTATAATGTTTCTCATCTCTGAATGATTCGTCATCTGCCTTCGAACGGAAACTTCATCAGCGAATCGGCTAGGCTTCGGTAACGCGCATAGATCGAAGCCGTCATAAACAACTTTCGCACATAAGATTCACACGCAGAGCATTTCGCTACAACATAACAAGAACAAATTTATCGCTCAGTAATCACTGAACGACTGGAACTAACGACCGATTCCCATTACTTATCATACTTCTTGGCGCAAAGCACTGCTAACAAACACAATTCGCAGGTTTAGCTGCAACTTATAACAAATACAACGG